GGTTCGTCCACCCCATTTTATTTCCCCGTCCCACTTTTTTTTTTTACACGAAATGACGAGCAATATTACTTTTAGCAACGCGAAAGGAATATATATGCGTATATATATAGATATATGACATAAACGCATATATGGCATATATACATGTATACACGTGGTGATTACAGTACGTTTAAACTGTTGTTGTTTTTCTTCCAATAGAGCTGCAAAGCTGACGCGCGAATTGGCCGCGTGCCCAATAGATTTTATTCGCATAAATTTCGTCCAGCGCGCCCGCTGCCAGTTCGCGCTAATTAATGCACCGGGTCCATCCTTGCCAGGGAGAGGCGTCCCGTGCCACCAAGGAGATACTTAAAGAAAACTATAATGAAATAAATAACGATATCCCACGATAAAGACATGAATAGCTCTTAAATGCCTAGCAATACTCAGACACTGGTCGCACGCGATGCCTCATCCCGATAAGGCATACTCCGGGGACACTCTGCATACTTATGCGATCCTCCACAACAAAAAATTGGCACAAAGAGAGAAAAAGTGAAATAATATTTAAACGCTATATGTAACATATAGGACATACGTGGCGAGTGAGAATGATCATCCGTCGCGTCATCGGCCACACGATGCCGCCGGACATTCGCGCGCGAGGGTATTTGGTGACTACAAAAGAACCTTGTAAATAGTATACATAGTACGCAAAGTACGTTTAAATAATGAGAATAGGTATAAAATGAAATATACATAAGATATTATTATATATTATATATAAACGAGAAGTATAAGATTATTATATATATATATATATATATACATATATATATATATTTACCTTGGTAAGTGATACAAGGCGGCTGTAAGGGCTCGCTCCGTTTTATGGGCGAACGCAGCGTGTCCAATTGTTATATCATTCTTTCTTCTGTTCACTGTCCGAAAAACAAGAGATTTTTTTTCTTATTACGTATACGGCATCACGGTGTAGATTTTTTCGAGGGACAGAACCGATCAGGATCGTTTATGAATTTTATAAATTATATATATTTTCTTTACTACTCGCTATTTTCTTTTGTATTCTTTCTCATTCCAATATCAATTTCTACGTTCCGTTATTATTTTTAAATCTTTTGTTTTTTTTTGTTTCTTTTTTTTTTAAGTATTTTATCTACATACAAATTCGTGCCATTCTCTTTGACGGATTCTGTCACTATGATCAAATCAATCCGGCACAATCGTATTCAAAGCAATGGGCTGGTGTGACTGTGTACGATTAAGTTCCTATTATATCTAACCAAGAATTAGTTAGCCATTATTTGGATTTAACCGAAGTGCACCACTGGCCCAATTATACTCATAGGCTCAGTAAAAATTGTTCGGACGTTGAAACGTTTCTTAGTTGGTTTCTCACCGTGAGCCAACAAGTCTTTCGTCTTTCCATTCTCTTTATGCATTTTAACTGCAATTGGGAGCGAGAGGACGACCGGAAATCGAGCGAGCCCCACTGTCGCCGGAAACCCTAGGGCAGGAATAAAGAAACACTGTACATTGTAAATAGTAGTGCAGAAGACGAAAGGTTACAGAAAGACAGAGTTAAAAGAAATTGCATCGAATTAGCGTCATGTGCTTCGAGCGAACGAAAGGCGTTACTTGTTTTTTCTTAAATTATACTCTCTGGTCATACCTGTTTGTAGAATACTCTTATAATAGATTGCAGTGAAAAAATGCTGCGACAGAAATCTTATTTCCTTTTTTTCTATCTCAAATTCAATCCTTCGTATGAAATAATGATTGCGCATGCGCGTCTCTGACGTTACGGCGTCGTCATCGGGAATGCCATTGGTTCGTTCGAGGAACTGCGCGAACCTTAAATAGAGAATAGAAAAGTTTTAAGATGCACGGAGTATCCTCTTAGGGCACGTCACGATCACTCGACAACCGTATTTTACATTATGACCGCGTCGAGATAAAAGTTTAATGAAAATACTTAACAATACGCAAATCCTTGTAGTCTCCATTATTGTAAGAATTCGTTTCCCATGAATTTCTAACTTTTAATTTGACCACTTTGATCAAGTCCGTTTCACCTGTTAATAATTTTTTTCGAATCACAATCACGCGAATTACAATTACTCTAGTCGTCGTAGCGGTCTTAACTGTATGTTATGCGCACGAGTGGTTGGACGTTGTTTGAAATGCGCTGAGGAGTTGTATCACGTACCGTTTTACCAAAATACCAGCAGATGCAGTACGAATACTGGAAAAACAACACAATATGGACAACAACAACTATCAAAACAATAAAGAGTATTATTCTATATATAACAGTGCCTTAATTCATTTTTCAACTTTACTATCCAATTCCATCCCTAATTCCTATGTTTCTGCACTGAAAGATATGTGCATGCGATTCAATTGAATCGAATAAAGAAAATTAATGTATAGAAAGGATTAAAGTTACATGTACTGTGGACTTGAGATGATATTTAATCAATCTAATTTTTTTCTATTGATTTCTGTTTAGCTGAAACGTTCCGCACTTTAGTTCACATATTAAAGAACTCAGAAGGCTTTCCATTGAGAAATGTCCGGCAATTCTGATCTATTGTTTCTAGAACGGCAATTTGAATATCTACGCACATTGAATGATAATGAACTAGATTTGCACTGTTAATGACCATGCTCCAATAAATCTTTGAGCAATCAGATTTTAGAGTGCCAACATGAAATGCTATCACATAACTGTATCTTCGTACTATTCATAGGGTTAAACATGCAAGTACTGTGTAGGAATAAATCAACAGGTCAGATGTCAACCAATCTGTATGATAATTAATTTCATTGCGACAGTCACTTTATTCTCGCACTTGTAGACCGATTCAACATGGGTTCGAGCATGACAGAAAGATAACAAACATGGGATTGATTTTATAACAATTTCTGTATTCTTGGATATTCGTTGGAGTTGGTGCAGAATAAGAGAAATTAGTAAAATATGCTTATGAATGATCCTAACAGTTTTTGAAGACCGTAATATATGAGCAGCATCAGTATGCCCATTAAGACATAATTAACAATTTTAAGTTTACGCTGTTTAATTTTCGCTGCTGGAACAGTGTCCAGAGGGTCCTTTAAGCTATGTACTCGCAGTCCTGGCCAAAAGTTGGTCGACCATTCGCTCCAATCCAAGTCTCGCAAATCGCAATAGAATAATTCACGATCCACCGGACTCATCTGATCCCAGGTCTTCGACATTTCTTTAACGGAAATTTTCCATTCTCGATTCCAGAAGTAATATATGACATTATAATATTTGTTGACTTTAAAGTAAGACGATACGACACTGAAAAGATTAAAAAAAACTATTAACAATCTTAACGAACTTCATTACACCCTAATTTAACTTGATACTTACAAAGGTTTTCTGCCTTGCACAGAAAGAATCAAGTCAACCAGAATAGCCGGAATGAGATGCAGAAAGATGTTTGAAAACTGCCACACGTAATAATTATTAATGAAGAACACAAAACATGCCCACACCATCTTCTTTGTCGGTGTCGCATCTCTAATAGGGTCGATTATGACTTTTAAACGTCTCAACGTTATAGGTTGTACCGTGCTGGTAGCGTAATTGTATACTACAGCTTCATTGCTTTTTCTGCAGGACGAAAGTAGAGATTTAATTTTTATTATACAACGTCCAAATTGTAGGACGTTAATTCTCATAGATAACTTACCTATTTTCAGTGGTATCCCAAATGGCAGCAAGGATTCCGTTGACAGACATGTCAACAGGAACGAAATCAATAGGATTCCCTTTGTACCACATACTATGAACAATACCTGCACTTGTTGCAGCATATCCTGCCATTGGTCCATTTAGTTTACCACTCCAGCCCGGTATTGGCTCCCGCACCGTTGAAATCACTGATGAAGATACAAGATATTTAACATTCCCATATGTATAATTTTATGTATGATTTTAATGGAGATCAATAATTAAACAGAGACACAGTCGTACCAATGGAAGGTCGAAAAACAAGTGCAG